AGAGAAAACTAGTGAGCCACTGCTGCCTCAGATGAAATGATCCACGTTGCATGTGTGATGACTTTGATTTCCAGGGAGTGGTTTCTTCACGGGGTACAGACCTGCATTTTTGTTTTTCCTTTCAAAAAATACCCCTTGACTTTTAAACATGCATCTTAGTATTTCCATGGGCAGAGCGCTAAAATGTGACAGCACCAGAGGATAAAATAGGGCATTGTTTTTAAAGTTTTCTAACTTACAGAGGCTGTGGCACTTGTTAAAAATAGAGGGAGGGACAACCAAAAGCATGCTTATGAAGTGCTTAGCATTTACTTAGTAAGACTATCTCATGGTCCGGAAAATCTGTGAATTAGTGTCCAAAAGGAAGACAATTTTAGCTTGCAAAAGGGCTAGTTAATTCCCTAAACACAGTCTGCAACCAGTCTCTTCTGAGAGGAATCTGGTGCAGTGGGCCAAATCTTGGCAGCAATATCTAACCCGACACAAGATTGTGAAATGGACTGGGAAAGTTTCACTTATGGAAATAGTTCCTATCAAACCTGAAAATGACGGAGGTTCAGAATTTTCACATTAAGGTGAACCAAACAATATGAAAGCCTGCATATTAAAGCCTTGTGTTTTAATCCCACCATGCTTCCTAAGGCATCCAGCGATAGCAGGGAGTTGTCAGTTTTCTCATCTGTAAAGTCAGTGTTTTCCAAACAATGCTTTGGTGTGGAGGAAACTGTTTTTTCAAATGAAAAAGTATAGCTAAATCCAATCTATAAACAGCTAAAGGCAGAAGCATTTCTTTGGAAACTGCAAGTGGGAGCTCAGGGTGGTGGCCAGAAACTTCCATCTCTACTCCTAACAGCCATTATCTCACCAATGTACCGTGTCAAGCAGAAGTCAACAGAATCACTGAGGAGATCAAGTTGAGCTCTTCTACATTCTAACATTTTAAGACTAAACACAAGGAACTCCGACTTCATTGCTTGATGGGATGGATACCTCTAGAGGCAGCCAGGTATTAAGAAAGGGATTAACACCTGAAGACGTTTTTGGGGAAAAAATTGTCTGGTGATTTTGATGTAACCCCTGATGTTACCAGAGGGTTTACAGAACAATTTGGAAATTAGCCTTAAGCCCAAAATGTATTTAGAAAGTTTTTTACTTCTTTACCTATTTTTGGTGCATCGTGTGTTTGTAAGCACACAGCAGTCTAGAGGCTACAATGCACTTCTCCATGTATTGTCTCACATGTGAATGTCTGACCCACTGCACTCACTCATGCTGTCCTGCTGGCAGTGAGTAAAGCACCTGTGGCATCTTTGAAGGCTTCTATCTCATAGGAACAGGGAAGAAGTTCACTGCCTGAAGAGAAAAGTCCTTCTATTTATCAGTGCCACTTTGAACCTCTTGACAAGGGGTCTTGACTTTTAGAACTGCATCTTCATATGGTCAGAGTCCTGTGTATGGAAGAATTTGTCCATCTATAGATTGTCCATTTTATGGCCTAGATTCAGGCATCCTTCACTCATTGACGTAAGTCAGTTAAATGGTCTAAATCTCATTGTCTTTTCTCTTGAAGGACAGGAATGTGAAAAAGGATGGAAGAGGGATGGGGTCAGGGCCAGGGCCAGGGCTGTGGTGTAGCAGGCTAAGCCTCCACCTGTGTGCCGGCATCCCATATGGGCACTGGCTCATATCCCAGCTGCTTCTCTTCCGATCCAGCATCTCTGCTGATGGCCTGGGAAAGCAGTGGAAGATGGCCCAAGTGCTTGGGCCTCTGCACCCATGAGGGAGACTGAGAAGAAGCTCCTGGCTCCTGCTTTGGATCAGCTCAGTTCTGGCCATTGCGACCATTGGGGGAGTGAACCAGTGGATGGAAGACCTTTCTCTCTGTCTCTTCTTCTCTCTGTTTGTAACTCTACCTTTCAAGGAAGGAAGGAAGGGAGGATGGAAGGTAGGACAAGAGCCTTATATGCAGAAAGAAGTGGTTCTTTGACAAAGCTTGAGACGGAATCAGCTTAGTAAATAATTATGAAATAGATCCAAACTGTTTAACGTTTTTAAGGAAGCTGTGGAAATAGTCAACAGTTATATACTTAGTGTATCCTCCTCCAAACTAGAGTAGAATGATAATGATGAAGACAGGAATATTTAAAAATGAGAGAACTGGAAATGAAACATGAATGAGAAATGCGTATTTGAAGGAAATATGTTGTTTAAAAAGCCCTTAACATGTGAGGCGAGAGTGAAGTTTCTATTTATTACTAGACACAGAAATTTATTTTCTTTGCACTCTATTTCCTTAAAAGGAAGTAAAATCAGCCACATGACAACTGCTCCTATTCACAAATGACAGTTACTTCATATTTTGATTTCTAACTTTTTTTAGTGCCTAAATTACATTTTTTTCTAGTGTTTCTTTTTGTTCTGCTCCTTTGACCTAGCTTGGAAAATCTGAAGAACATGTCTTTCTTTTCTCCCCCACTCTAACAGTCTTTAAAATATTCTTTCTAAGCTCAAAAAATGACATTTTAAAATGCATGTAAAAGGAACATTTTCATTTTCAACAAGACAATATGGTTATAATTAAAAGCCTTAGTTCAAGGCAATTTAAGTTTTATCCTCTTTTTAAAAAGTCGAGTTGTTTTTATAGAAATGACCTATCATTTATCACATTTAGAAAGATCTGCAAATTTATAGACTGTACATTGCATGGCCTGGACTCAGGCATCCATGCTTCATTGCTAACAAATACAATTCCTGACAATAACAGTGCAGCCTGGAACTAACAGAGCTCATAGCTAATGCCCTCATGTTTGGGAATATCAATTATGAGTCACCCTAGGTGTGGAAAGTGGATGCAAGCTCCAAAATCTGTTTTGTACTTGGTCTGTATTCTGCAACATCTGATGGTCATGAGCTAATGCTAATGCTTTGTTATCCAGTCTGTATTTTAAGCATTAACCAAAGCAAGCTTCACTAAATATTTATTTGGCAGCTAAGAACCATACAACAAAACTTCAGTATTCTGTTTTGAGGTTTTAATCCCAATACAATTCAGAAATTAATTTTGACAAGTAAATAAAGTGATATGCTAGTTATAGGAAAACTGTAAAATGCAAATGAGAATCAGAAATATAATTCTCAATACTGTAACAATGTATTTGCAATATTTTACACAGAATTCAAAAGAGCTTTCTTTTCCAAGATAATCTTTGTGTTTTATCAATAAGCTGAATTTTTTCACATTATTTCAAGCCAGCTCCTCTTTAATGAGATTTTATACATCCAATATGAGGTGTTCCATAGTCTAGGGAACTAATTCTTATTAATTTACTGTGTATCAGCCACTGTTCTCGGCTTAGTATGTGTTTTCGCTCATTTGATTTTCACAACAGTAAGGGGTCCAGGTTTGTGTTCCTGCCATTGGGCAGACAAGGAATCTGAGGATCAGTGGGATTCACGAGCTCACTGAAGGTCACACACGTAGTTATGATGAGGACAAAACTGAGTACCCTGTCAGTTTGACTCCAGAACCACGTATTAAGTCACTACACGGTCTTTCACAGAATAAGAGCTGGACGATATCTTTAGGAATGATATGGGGAAAAAAATGACACAACTGTGGTTGAAATAGCTCGTCTAGAACTCTATTTCCTCCTTCTAAAATTGCCCGCACTTAAGAATGAAAGAAAAGAAATCATGGGTGATTTTCCCTAGTAAAGAACCATCATTGCATCCCAGAAGCAATTTTGATATTTACAAAAATTAGGTTAAATCTTTCAGATTACTACGGCGTCTGATGGCTTTTTGGGACTGGGGTTTTCCAGACCTGGTGGAGTTTTTTCATCATCAAGGGCACTACCACAGCCCAATGTGGTCATTTTATCTTCTATTTTGGCCACCATGATTACAACCTTCTGCCACCATATCAAAGTAACAACCTCAGTGGGTATTGGGAAACTGTGGAGAGCATACAAAAGGAGATGATTCAAACACTGGGCCTTTATTTAAGGTTTTGAAACAGGCTGAGAAGATCCAGAAGACACTGCCAGTCCGGAAGATCCACTTGCAAACCGAATCTTAAGGGGCCCCAAAATTTCAATTCAGAAGAAATTTCCGTTAAGTCTTGTACCTCCTTGAGGAATTTCACCTGCATAAACCTTAGTTAGGGCTTGGGTCCTACTGATTTTCTCACTGAAAGGGACTTTGGGAATTCAGAACTGGAGCAGGTTCTATGATGCACTCGAATCACGGACGTTTGGCACTAGCAGGACCCGGGACTCAGCTTGCCAAACTCACCATTTTATCAACGAGGAAACCAGAGGACAACACGGCTACGACGGTGCTCTGAGCCCCAGCGTCTGTCGAGGATAAAACCGCAGTGGGGAGCAGGTTCTCCTTTCCTGGCTTCAGACTCTCAGTAAACTGACATGGCCTTCACAGCAACCACAGCCCCTGATCTTTTAGATTGTGGTCATGAGCTATGGCTCTGCTGTTTCCAGCTTATTTATCAGCAGGAGTTCTGTGGCGGACGCATGTCCCCTCCAACCCCAACCCGAGACTCCTGGCTACCTAGCTATGCAATGAAATTATCAACACTCCTAAGGAGAAGCACATAACTAAAGCTAATTCCATAATACATGCAGTAGTACTAGGTATCATCTTAAGGTGCTTGCACCATTGTAATATTGGAGAATATTGTTTTTGACAAATAAAAATGTCACTGAGATCTCATTTTTACCCATATCTTGAAGAAGCATGAAAATTTAAAACCATGACATAAACCAGTTTTTCATTCTTTACCTTACTATCAATTAAAATGTAAATTCTGAGGAACTTAACATTCTGCTTGTGGAAACTAATGTTAGTCTTCAATGATTCCTACTTGCAAAAGAAAAACAAACATGTTGGGAAGCTTCCATGGGTCCAAGATTTGGCATGTGTGTTTGCTCTAGTTAGTATCTAGCGCAGGTGTGATAACACAATGCACGGATAACACAACATACCAGGAGCAGCTGCAACAACAGCACCAGCAAAAGCAACACGTGTTGTTGGGCCTCTGGTTCCCGGGAGCTTGAGACACAGCAGGTGTTCCTTCATTTTGAGACTGCTGCCTTTTGCGCATTTCAGCTACTTCAGTCCCCAACTGGCTGAAAGAAGAGAGAAAACAAAAGGTCTGAAAAAACGGTGACAGGACAGGTTGCCTAAAGGACACATGATTTAATTAAGGGAGGATGAAGACAATGTAAGAAAAGGCAAAACAAATGAGCTTTAGCAACCGAACTAAAAATTCTCAGGAAAAATTCTCGAATATCCTAAAAACTTTCAGAATAAACTTCTATCATTCTCTGCTGCCTAAAATTATAGTTATAAAAATTTTCCCATGATCAAATGCTCCAGTAAAGTAAATAAGATAGGGTTTGAACATTTATTCTTAATGTGCTTCATTACTCAAGAATGATTAAATCTGCTTTCCTTTAGGAATGCCTTTAAACTGTCACAGCTGTGTGACCAACTCGCTTCTCCTCTGATGTTTTACAGGATGGTGAATTGGACGTTATTTAAGCCAGTGTTGCAGCGTTTTCTAACTAACTATTGTGAGGAGTATGATTGGTGCCTTCTCATCTCCTTTTAAAACACCTGATCACCTTTTTGGCACTTCTGACTCATTTTCCAGTGCCACTACTAAGATAACTCAATTTTTATTAGGTATCAGCATTGCAAAGATATCACCTCTCCTTGCCCACATCCCCAAATTTATTTCAATTTAATAGAGAATTTGGGGAAGATAGAAAAGTCATCAAGCTAAAGGGAATTACTTTGGTAGAATTTATGTATTATGGCAGATAAAAATATTGGGGTGCAGCATTCTCTACTTGTGACCTTATAAATTAGATGAAATGACTTATTGCCTACAAGTATTTACAGTATCAACCCTGACTGAGGACTGGATTGTAGGTAAAAAAAGAAAAAAGATGATTTTAGTATAATTTTAAATTTAGCATGAACTTTTGGAAAAATGAATAAACCATTCACATATATTGTCATATGTGGCTGAGAGCAATAAGTATTAAAATACAAAGTGCTTCAAGTCATTTTCATACTGTGAGCTCATTCTTAAAAAATATAATTTGGAGGGTAGGAATTTTGTACAGCAGTTACTGTTTCAGATTCCCACATCCCATACTGGAGTGCCTGGGTTGAGTTCTGGCTACTCAGCTTCCCATCTAGCTTCCTGCTAGTATGCACACTGGGAGGCAGCAGGTGATGGCTCGAGTTCTTGGATCTCTCCCACTTACATGGAGACCTGGGTAGAATTCCTGGCTCCTGGCTTTGTCATGGCTTAGCACTGGTTGCTGTGGCCTTTATAAGGGGAGCAAAACAGTGGATGGAAGATCTCTGTCTTCCTGTCCCTTTCAAGTAAATTTTAAAAATGCAAAAGTTATATTTTTAGTTCTGAATACAATGACAGATACTTTTGAAAATATTGTATTCTTAAAAATAAGAACCCCTTTAAAAGGAAACAAACACAGTGGTAGGTAAATATTAGCTGAAGTCACCTAATTTTGTTATTCACATATAGAATCAGAAAGGGGCAAGGCTGCACACTCCAGTGCTTTGTAAAATGTTTCACTCTGATTAGCAGGAGGCCAGGTTCTCAGCTACAAACATAAAATCAGAGGCTATTTTTTCTGCCATTCATAAAGATGGTGCCAAAAAAGTCTTTCTAATCATTCAAAGGTACCTAGCTGCAGGAAGGGCAGCAGAGAGAGTGGTTCAGGTGAGACAGGCCCAGCAACCTGCTGGTTCAGGTGACTGGGTCAGAGACATCTCCAAAGTCCCTGCTGCATGGGAAGAAATCCTGAGACGCTAATCCATTAGCTGCCACAGGACCGAGGATCTTACAAGGACAACAAGTAAGTGAAACACACTTCTCATTCAATGTGTTGTCTGAAGGCAAACAATACGAATTAATACCAGAAAACAGAAAGCTTGCTCAGCAATTTGGAGAGGAAGACACCCCCGATCAAATGTAAATAGTTGAATTACCAAAAATTAGTTACTAAACATGATTATGATAATCAGCAATGTAATAAGGAAAGAATACTATCTGTATGAGAAGAAATTATGAAACAAAAGTAGGCAAATATAAAACAAGGATGTACATAATAAAAAATGGAAAAACAAAAACACAGAGCCATTAAGAAACTTTACATGTAAAAAAAGCTATTCCCGGGCCGGTGCCGCGGCTCACTAGGCTAATCCTCTGCCTTGAGGCGCCGGCACACGGGGTTCTAGTCCCAGTTGGGGCGCCGGATTCTGTCCCGGTTGCCCCTCTTCCAGGCCAGCTCTCTGCTGTGGCCAGGGAGTGCAGTGGAGGATGGCCCAGGTGCTTGGGCCCTGCACCCCATGGGAGACCAGGAAAAGCACCTGGCTCCTGGCTCCTGCCATCGGATCAGCGCAGTACGCCAGCCGCGGCAGCCATTGGAGGGTAAACCAACGGCAAAGGAAGACCTTTCTCTCTGTCTCTCTCTCTCTCACTGTCCACTCGCCCTGTCATAAATAAAAATAAAAGAAAAAAAAAAAGAAAAAAAGCTATTCCCAAAGCAACCCTAAAGTGAAACAGCGATGGTGCCCAGGAAGATCCCTAGAATTCATCACAGAGAGCTACAAACGTAAAAAAGAATTGAGACAAGCAGAACAGTAACTTCGGAAGGCTCCACTATGCACTCAGCAGGGTTTTCATCAAAAGAAGAACACTGCTAGACTTTTTGGAAAGTGGTATTTCAAGGGAGGTTGGCTGAGAACTTTCTACAATTGGAGAACACAAAACAAAAGTCTTACATTTAAACAGCACACCACATGGTCAGGATAAGTAAAAATTAATCCACAATTACACATATTATAGTAAAACCATAGATCTATAACATAAAGGAGACCGAATTATCCACTGAGAGGTAATACATGAACAGCAGTAGACTTTTGGGGAGAATTTAGATGCCAAAGACAATGAAGTACTATTCTCCAAGTGCTGAGGGAGATTACCAATTGTTTTGCATTTTGTATGCAGCTAACAAATCCAAGAATGAGGGTATCTGGGATCAACTATATGAGTTTATTACATAATTCTTTACAGGAAACTACCTAGGTTAGAAAAAAATTACAGAGAAGGAGTGTAAATAGGAAACAAGCACTGAAATTACACAGAGCTGGACTTTTGAGAAGATGCACAAAATAGACAAACCTTTAGTCAGGCTAAAAAATAAAAAGAGAAAAAAAAATAAATAAAGTTAGACATGAAAAGGAGATATTACAACCAAGAACACTAAATACAAAGTATCCTGAGAAACTATGAAAAACTCTATGAGAACAAACAGAGAAACCTCAAAAAAATGGATACACTCATGGACATTTATAACCTACCAGGATTAAACCAAGAAGATACAGAGGGGTCGGCACTGTGGCATAGCGGATAGAGCTGCAGCCTGTGGTGCAGGCGTCCCATATGGGCACCGGTTCAGGTCCCGGCTGCCCCACTTCTGATCCAGCTCTCTGCTATGGCCTGGGAAGGCAGTACAAAATGGCCCAAGTCCTTGGGCTCCTGCACCTGCATGGGAGATCTGGAGGGGGCTCCTGGCTTCAGATCAGCACAGCTCTGGCCGTTGAGGCCAATTGGGGAGTGAATCAACGGATGGAAGACCTCTTTCTACCTCTTCTTCTCTCTCTGTGTAACTCTAACTTTCAAGTAAAATAAATAAATCTTTAAAAAAGAACCTAAACAGACTCATAACAAGTTATGACATTGAAGCAGTAATTAAAAGTCTTTGATCTGCCCGCAGTTGTGGAATGTTGGTTTAAGCCACTGCCTGTGATGCCAGAATTTCATATGGGGTGCCAATTTGAGTCCTGGCTCCTCCACTTAGGATTCAGCTCCCTGATAATAAGCCTGAGAAGCAGCAGAAGATAGCTCAACTACTTGGGCCCCTACACCCATGTTTCTGGAAGACCGAGAAGAAGCTCTTGGCTCCTGGATTTGGCCTGGCCCAGCCTTGGCCATTGCAGTCATTTAAGGAGTGAACCAGCAGATGGAATATCTCTCTCTGTCTACTTCTCTTTCTCTAACTCTGCCTTTCAAATAAATAAATAAATCTTAACCAAAGAAATAAAGTTTTCCATCAGAGAAAAGCCCAGGACCTGGTGGCCTTACAACTGAATTCTACAAAACATTTTTAAAGAGAAACAAATTTCAGTACTTTTCAAACAATTCCAAAATAATGAACAGGAGAACTCTACCACACTCAATTTATGAAACCAGCATCACTCCCATACCAAAATCCAACAAAGATACAACACAGAAAGAAAACTACAGACCTATATCCCTGATAAACACAGATGCAAAAGTTCTCAACAAAATACAAAAAAAAAAAACCTAGCAAATCAAATCCAAAACCACTTCAAAAACATCATAATCATGACCAAGTGGGATTTACCCAGAGATGAAAGGATATTTCAGCATTCACAAGTCAATAAATGTCATAAATCACATTAACAAAATGAAGAACAAAAATCATATTGTTATCTCAATAGATGTAGAAAAAGCATTTGATAAGATTCAACAAGCCTTCATGATTAAGACCTTCCACAAATTAGGTATCGAAGGAACATACCTCAAAATTCTACAGGCCACATGTGACAAACCAACAGCTAACATTATACTGAGTGGGGAAAACTGAAAGCATTTCCCCTTAAATCTGGGACAAGACAAGGATGTCCACTTTCACCACTCTTATTCAATGCAGTATTAAGTATTAGCAAGAGCAATCAGAAATCCCACAATAGTCAAACCAAAAAAATCCAATACTTAGGAATAAATTTAATCAATGAAGTGAAAGATCTTAACAATAAAAATTATAAAACATTGATAAAAGAAAATATCAACGGCACAAAAAAATAGAAAGATATTCCTTGCTTATGGACTGGAAGAATTAATAGCATTTAAATGTCTATACTCCCTAAAGCAATCTCCTGATTCAATGTAATTCCTATCAAAAACCAACAACATTATTTACAGCACTAGAAGAAACAATCCTGAAATTCATACGGAAGCACAAAAGACCCAGAATAGCCAAAAATCATGAACAGAAACAAT